TGAGTCAGAATTGACGCCACAGCAGCGGGTTTGATGGGCCTGGACAGGTGACCTGCATTGTTACAGGGAGGGCTGCATTTACCTGCCCACCCCATCTCATCCGAAGGTGCGGAAGACAACGAAACCTCCCATCTAACGTCCCGTTAAACCCACTGCCATCGAGTTGATTCTGACTCATAGAGACCCTGTAAGACAAAGTAGAACTGCCCCATAGGATTTCCAAGGCTGTAATCTTCATGGAAACAGACTACCACATTGGTATCCCACGGAGCAGCTGGTGGGTTCAAACCGCCGACCTCTAGATTAGCACCTGAGCACTTAACCACTGCGCCCCCAGAGCTAACATGTTGTGTTGTTGCTGTGTGCTGTCGAGTCAATTCCGACTACAGCGACCCTATAGCACGGAGTAGAACTGCCCCGCAGGGTTTCCAGGGAGCGGCTGGTGGATTCAAACTGCTGACCTTTTGGTTCGCAGCCAGGCGCTTAACCACTGCGCCACCAGGGCTCTAGGGCTAACATACAAGGTGGGAAATTCTCATTAAGGAACCAAAACCCCAAAACCAGTTGCCATCCAGTCAGTTCTGGCTCGTGATGACGCTGTGTGTGTCAGAATAGAACTGTGCTCCATAGGGTTTTCAATGGCTGATTTTTCAGAAGTAGATTGCCAGGCTTTTCTTCCGAGGTGCCCCTGGGCGGACTTGAACCTTCAGCCTTTCAGTTAGCAGCTGAGCGCATGAACCATTTGCACCACCTAGGGGCTCCTTGAGCAGCACCATCCTACAGTTTCTGGGTTTTTCTGTCGGCCCATTGTAACATACACGCTAATCCTGGAGAATGCGTCCTTGGCGTCATTTTCTTCCTGGATAGAAATGTTACTTCACGGCCCCTGTTATACAGCTGCCATTTTGCGAGTTTGTGCGGTGTGCCAGACTAGGGAAGTTTTTTTTAATGTATTATGTCTTTCACTTTCCTCCTCAACTCTTTGAAGCCAGCCCTATTCACATGCTCATTTTAACTGACGAGGAATTGCGTTCTCAAAGAGATTAAGAAACTTGTCCAGCATTGCTTAGCAGGTCAGTGGCAGAGCCCACACCTGTGTGGGGACAAATGTGTGCTTTAGCTGAAATTTACAGATTCGCTCTAAGGCTTTTTTGTTTCGTTGCGTTTCTGAAGGCAAGGGAGGAACGGTGGGAAGCAAACCAAACCAAACAAAAATTGTCCAGCAGAGCTATTCAGATAACCGGGAGCCTATGAGTGACTCACGTGTTTCTTCATAAATAAAGAAAAAGAAAAAACAACTCAGGTTTTACTAGAAACCTTTTTCCTGTATTGTTTCTCCCCTCTCAGGATGTGGGTGAAAAGTGACCCTTAACTCCCCAGAGACTAGCAGAAGCCTGTCCAGTCTTAGACTTGGTCTCTCCTTATGTGTTCTTCGTGCCTCTTGAGTACAGGAAGCTTTTTCCACCTTCTAAAACCACATGTTCGGTGCCAGAACAAAAGGAAAGATGGTGCTGCGATAGCCCCATTGCAGAGGGATTGTTGGTTTATTTGCTCTTCCTGAGCCCTAGGCTGGTGGGGCAAGCACTCCCCTT